GCAGTGAGTGTGAAGCTGAAGTGAGAGCTCGTATCAGCGCCACTGTTCGTCGTTTATCGTCGGCATAGCCAAAGATATGGATATTAATACAGTGTGTTCCAGAAATATGGCAGAGAATTTAGCGGGCCCAGCAGGCAAGAGTCCCACACTGAAGACTCAGGCACCGCAGGTGAGCAACCAAGCTGAAGAGTTTTAGGTAATTGAAGTTGGTGAAGAGCTAGAAAGAGTCTTAGTGAGGATTAGGCAGATACCCATTACGAGTATGGGAAGAATTGGAAGAGGCGCGTATAGCGGGGAAATACAGAACCAAGTTGTTCCAAGTATTGGAAAGTGAAGCCAGTGGCATAGGCAAAATGTTGGAAGACTTGAAAGCCAGCGTAGTGGGATATAAGCATTTGGGCGGGAACTGTTCAGAACCCTGCGCACTAAAGGCATTGACACAATAGATGATCTTATATAGTATTTTGATACCACAGAACGAAATGGCGAGTTGATTGTTGATATATGTGACATGTTTCAGACTAACGGTCGGGAGGTTCGAAATGTACTGGGAGAGATACAACGCACCGTGCGTCAGCAAACACACCGAAGCCCGCCAAAGGAAGATGATCAAATGGACACGGACACTAACACAGGTGAATTGGAAAGACAATCCTGTAACAGGAGAGTGGGGGATATAGGGACAGAATTTCAGATGAGAAGGAATTCGATGATTTCAGCAAGCCAAACTGAGCGCCTTACGGTCTACTCTGGAAGCAGCGTTCGGAGAAATTACAAGGACAAGCAGTCAGCACATCAGGTCAGGAAGCTTCAAAGTTTATGGCTTTGATGCAGGCGAATGCGTGCATAGGTCCTGGGTTACTCAAGGGGACTAGGTCGGAAGATTTTGATGAGTTTATACGAAGATTCGAAAGGAAATATAGGACGGTCATTATGAATGAGCAAGTTCTAATCGATATCCTAGGTGATGACCATTTGGATGGTAGGGCCAAGAGTGTCTTTTTGAGTTTGCCAAGCGAAGTGAAGCGGCAAGGGTTCGATGCCGTGGTAGAGGAGTTGAAGAAGTTACTAGCCAACGACTCTACAGCGGGACGACTTCGCGCATTGACAGAGCTGAGGAAGATGGGGCGTAGAGCGGGTCAAAGCGTGTCGCAGTTCTGCGTTGTGTTAGAGTGGTTGGGGCGCCAGGCTAACCCTTCCTGCAGATTAAGTGATAGGTCCATGGAGTATGCCCAGATCCTGCAAGACAACTTGAAGGAGTGGCCGAAGCATAATCACCTGATGAGTACACTTCATAGGGTGGAGCCCAGGGAGGCCTATAGCGCAGTGAAGGAGTTAGCTCTAAGTATTGAACAATCCAAACTGATGTGGCTAAGTGAAGGAGGGCGAAAGTACGATAAAGGGAGTTGGAAGCAAAGAGCCGCCACCTAACATGAAGGGCCTTCAAGGACAGATAGTGATAAGCTGGTCAATTCTGAGGCCAGATATGAGGTGCGACGGCCAAACGCAGTAGACACGTGTAAGCGGGACGCCCAACGTGCCTCAAGAGAAGCCTCAAATGTCACACTGGTAGTACCACTGAGAGCAGACGAGAAGATAAAGGAAGTAAGGAGCCAAGGAGGTGTTACAACTGCTCCAGATTTGGGCAAATTGGCAAGGACTGTCCCCTGAGGGAAACCGTGGTGAAACAAATTGCTAGCAAACTCCGGAAAAGGGGCAAAGAAGAAGTACAGATGTGACCCAAATAGTTGACAGGGCGCGAAGCCTTGGCGTGAGAGTGGTTGAGCCGTCAGAGATGCCACTGGTAGGAAACATGGCGACAGCGTGGGCTCATATGATGGATATGCGGGTTCCAGCAATACTGGACACAGGGTCTATCATAAGTATTCTACCTGTGGGACTGCTGGCACGCGCTCAAAAAGAAGCGTTTGATATGGAAAAGTTAGAAGTGCTGCCAGAGGAATCGATGGTGCCGGTGTACGATGCATCATGGAAACGTATGAACTTCCTGGGAGCTATTAAGATGCAAGTGCACCTAGAAGGAGGTAACACTGCTATCGTAGCCTTCCATATTGCAGACACAAATGATAAGGATATCCTCTTAGGAATGAATGCGTTGCATCGATTAGGGGTACAGCTGGTCATGAGATCCGATATAGGAGATGATAATACAGAGAAGGATGCTAGAGGTGTGACTGTGTTGAGGAGGCTCTATGTACCGCCGCACGGGTCGGCAATCCTCCATGCGTATTGTGAGTGCGAAGGAGAGCAACAGGAAGGAATTGTCTGGCCAGGCAAGGGTGGAATAACAGCTGGAGTGTTTAGAATTCACAATCAGAGTCTCCAAGTGCCGGTCATCACTGAATGTGATCAACCCATGATATTTCGAGAAGGCGAAGAAGTAGGTAAATGGGGAATAGAAAAGTGACGTGAAAACTGGGAAGAGCTTAATCCCTTGATGATGGATTGCGAGAGTCAGCAGTATAGTAAGCACTAAAGAAAGCTAATACTCCAGGAACAGATACGGGAAAGTGCAAAGGTATAAAGCTTAAGCGAAGACATGATTTCAGTTGTGGAGGAATTCCCTAACGCGTTTTCTATATGTGATAGAGAGCTAACAGGGACAAGTAAGGCAGAGATGGACATCGATACTGGAGAGAGCAAGCCCATCAAAATGAAAACTAGAAGAGTTCCGTTTGGAATCAGAGAAAAACTGAAAAAGTTGTTGTCTGACCTAGGAAACAGAAAAATCATAGGGAAAAGTTGTTCGGAGTGGGCCTTCCCGATTGTGTTAGTAGAAAAGAAAGATGGCAATTTAAGATTATGCGTGGACTATCGGGAATTAACAAGAGAATCAAACTCGACTCGTACCCGCTACCTGACATTGATGCAGTACTACAGAGCATGTCAGGAAAATCGTACTTCTCAACTTTGGACCTCTGCAGTGGGTACTGGCAGATACCTCTAACAGCCGAAGTCTGCGTTTACTACGCCGGAGGGACTCTTCCAGTTTCGGGTCACTCCATTCGGTCTGACCCGAAATTGGAACAGTCCCTGTTTCTCAACGGTTGATGAATACAGTTCTGCGAGATCTTCTTGGCGCTGAGGTATTTTGCTATATCGATGATATCATCATCTGCACAGACACGAGAGAGAGGCATATCGATCTACTAAGGGAAGTCTGCACGAAGCTGCAGGACGCGAGACTAAGGTTGAAAGCTCAGAAGTGCGTCCTTATGCAAACTAGAGTAAATTTTCACGGTCATGTTATTGTTAGGGATGGTGTTCACATGGACCCGGCAAAGGTAGAGTCGATCACTAAGTATCCGGTCCCAAAGAATGCGAAGGAACTAAGGACGTTCTTGGGAATGGCGTCGTTCTATCGTAAATTCCACCTCGGATTTGCTAAAGCGGCAGAAAGTTTGTTTTCGTTAACATCCCCTGAGGCAACATTGAGATGGACTGATGAACACAGAGCTGCTTTTGGAAAAGTCATGGAAATGATATCTACGTCACCAGTGCTTAGCCAACCCAACATAGAGAAGGCAAGGGACGGGTCTGAACCGTTTGTAATTTGTACGCAAGAGGATGAAGATAAGCAACTGCATCCTATATATTTTGCATCAAAAAGCCTCAGTAAAACTGAGCGTAGGTATCACGTAACACACTTGGAGGCATTAGCGGTGATGTTCGCTATTAGGCGATTCCTTACGTTTATCTATGGACTACCCACGATTGTTTTGACTGATCATCAGCCGCTCACAGCCTTATTCAATCGTACCAATGTTTCCGCAAAGTTCTGCGGTGGTCATTAGAGATACAGAGATATAACTTGGTGATAAAATATGTAAAAGGAAAATCAAATGTAGTAGCGGACGCGCTCAGCAGAGGAGCAGCAGTTCGGAGTGATGAGGAAATAGGCGCGCGGTGATCAACACCGTACAGGTAATTCAGAGTAAGACAAAGTGGATGAAGGAATTGGAGGAAGACAGCGAAATCGCCCCTATCCTAGAAGCAGTAGCTCGGGGAGATGAGAAAAGGGTCTTTCTATTGACGGGACTGAGAAATCCGGTGCGCGCTGCAGATTTCGTGATAGAGGAAGGTGAATTAAAAATGTTTCAGAAAGATGGAACTTTGGTGTACGTGGCCCCAAAAAGTGCTCGCTATAAGATCTTTCACGAAGCGCAGGAACATTTGCTGGGCATTTCAGTGCTTACAAATTGTTGAACAGACTCAAGAAAGAAGTATTCTGGCCTACCATGGTTCAGGATATCAACAAGTGGACAAGGGAGTGCCAGCTTTGCTTCGCGCATAACGCAAGACTAAAGATATTACCTCCATTAAAGCCAATCGCTACCACGAAGCCATATGAGATAGTGGGTAATGACGTGCTAGAGTTGGGAAACACGACAAGTGGCAGCCGCTATGCGATTACGGTCATAGACCACTTTTCCAAGTTCGCTGCGGCATACCCGGTGCCTAACAAATCAGCAGAAACGATAGCGAGAACCCTCTTTGTGCGATGGATCGCGGAAGGATGCCGCTGGCCGCTTGTCAACTCCCCCATTACCCGGTTCTCGAACTCTTCCCCCGCATGTCTGACAAGGGGGCAGAGTTCGAGAACCGGGTAATGGAGGAGTTGACAAAGATCACGAAAATTGAACAGATAAAAACGAAGGGCTATAACTCGAGAGAGAACGGTATTATGGAACGATTAAATGGAGAGACAGTAGCAATGTTGCGACGTAGTACGGTGGTTCCTGTGGAGTGGGACGTAAGATTGCAGTTGTGCATGTTCGCATACAATATAACACCGCATCAGGCAACCGGTGAGAGCCCATACTTTATTTTACACGGCGTGGATCCAGGTTATCCATCGGGAGTAATTTCAACGGTGGAGTGTCGTCGTATACGATGGATGAAAGTAGGGACGATTATAAGGCACAGCTATTGCATGCGATGGCTGAAGTCCACGATAGAGTTGCAGAATATAATGAACGAATACGACGAAAAATGAAAATGGAGTATGATAGGCGGAATAAAGTTGACAGTAGCAAGCATCCTAAAGTGGGAGATAGGGTCTATATGTTGTCTCCAAAAGAGAAGACGATGAGCGCTCATCCAAAGCTGACCTGTGACTGGGTTGGACCCTTCCGAGTGATAGGGGCGAGTGAGAACTCAGCGGTCATCAGTAGAATAGGGGAAAACGTACAGCCCATACGTGTGCAATTTGACATGCTGAAGATTGTACCGCCCTATATTTCCGACGATCGTATCGATAGTGTAACCAGTAGAGGAAGAAGGGGAAGAAAAGCAAAAGTAAGCGTAAACAAAGAAGTACCACATGCTTCAGAGGCGCCTTTTTCCGCGCAAAGAGCGACAAAGGTCATTTGGAATACATTGTGGAGACGGCTGCCTGAATGATGTGAAACTAGGCGAGCTCGCAGGAATCCAGTTTCCAGGAGCATTTTCGCAGAAGCCGTTGGGGTCGCTGTGGAACGCATGGAAAGCGGCTAGCATTCCATTCGCATGCACCTGGACATGGCGTCGAAGTTAACATTTTGGAAGGATGGCACAGTATGTCTCGATGAAGAAGCTCTTCAAATTGTGCTGCGTGTCGCGTATTCGAAGTGTCCTGACTGGACCGAATTCATTTGTATGACGGACGGCATCAGGAAACACGAGAAGATTGAGTCATTTGAATTCGAAAAGACCTATGACTCCGCCCTGAAAAAGCTGAAAAAGGAGCTCGAAGAGGAGGAAAAGAAGAAAAGACAGGTAAAACAAGGCCCAACTGCCTTTGCAGCTCCAGCAAGTGCTGCGTTACTTGAGAAAGACGGGCCGAAAAGAGGAATAACGACGAGAGTTGTAACTTCGTTCAAGCAGCTTCGGGAGATCTTGATGGAATGGACAACGCATGCCATTTGGATCATTGTGTAGTCCGAAGATAAAAATTTCAAGGAGGAGGAAATCTGTGTAGTCGTTAAGGCATGCGGGCAGCATCTGGCCGAAGGAGGACAGGTGGTAACTGCATGGCCTCCGGTCATCGAGAAAAATGTGGAAAATTGGAAGTCGATGGTGGAAATATGGTCTATGTTGAATGAGACCATAAAGAGACAAGCCGCTGCGGGACAGTTCTATAGTGCGGCAGGCACAAAGGTGGAGAATGTCGAGTTTTTTTTTGTGAAATAGGATCACCGGAGACAGCATTGTATTATTACGGTTCCAATTTTGCCGTAGGTTGTGCGAAATCGTTATA